AATAAAAATAGTGTTCAATCATCATTCATTAATATTGCAAATTAATGTTGCCAAATTATAGCTTCTTATAGTTTTCAGTCTCATTTCCTTGGCATTTCCTTGTGAAGCATGATGATTATATGTACATCAATAATAAACAACTGGTAAAGGAAATATATCAGCTGAGAACATTACTTGATGAAATATTTTCACATGACTCGACTGATTATCATATGATCACGTGTCCTAGAGAAAACCTATTCCAAAGAAGCATCATTTGAATGTTTTGAGAGATACATTAGAGCACCTGCAAGAAGTTATAAAACATCATTTTATTTAGGCCCAAAAGTTCATATCCATAAACTCATGCTTTAAATTGCTATAAAGAGAGAGAGCATCCAAACATTGATCAAGAAAAGTCTCCCTATCAAATTGAATTTCCTTAGCACTTGACACGGCCATATAATAGGAACAAACAGTAGATGAGGAGCTAACACTATTAGTATCATGCTCAAAAAAAACAAAGAGGAAAAAATACTATCGCTATCATTGTTGTTTGTATTAAACACCATAATTTCATTAAAATTAATACTAATGACAAAAGTTATATCATCAATCATACATAGATATCAAAGAATAGATCCAAGAAAAATGAATACTACAGATCTAAAGAATAAATAAAAATTAAGATAAAAAATCACTATCAGTATCATGGCTATTCAGCATAGCCACATTAGTAGATGGTGGTGGTAATTAATCACAATTCCTAACTGAAGGAAAAGATAAAAGCAAAAGGAAGATTGACAAATTGGAATTGGACGGTGGAAAGCTATTGAAACAAAGTGATCGGATGGCTGAGACTGAGAATTAGAAATTAGATGCAAGAGTATTCTACTTCTTTGACTAGAATGAATCAAGGAACATCGTATCCATGAAAGAGTTTTTAGAGTTGAAAAGAAACGAGGATTTTGAGGAGAAGGGGGACTGTTGTTCTGACATTGTTTTTAATTAATCTGTAATAGATTATCACATGATTCATTTCCTTCTGCAGTTGCTGTCTCTTCTTCCTATAATACTTTAAGCACATTAATAATCCAGCAACAATTGTCGGTTTTCATTGTTCAATATTTGTTACTGGAACAAACAGGCTAACTGAACATGAGAAACATCGGTACAAATCAAACTTTTGTGAACCATTGTCTGCATGTGCATTTCAAACACGAGTTCATCTATAATGAGTTTTATGCAACAAAAATGTAAATAAATTTATTTTGGTGGGGTAAGAAAAAACATATTTTTCCTATGATTTTGGTAGTGATTAGTATCTACAGCCTGGAAATTCAAAAGATACAGAACTGGGCCAATCTTTTTCCAAGGACTCTTCATCTTCTGTTCTTTACATCAGAAATAATGTGTTTGGATAGAGTATTAATTAAAATATTATTTGGAATAATTACTATAGCACTTTTTGTGATGTGATGTATGTGAAATAAAAAGGTGGTTAAAAATATAAAAAAGTAGATCGAAAAATGTGTTTATGATGCAAATGAAATATTATTTGAAAAAATGAGATATCCAAACAATATATTCTAGGTGTATTGGTTACTCCACGCTCTCATCTTTATCTCTCCTCTTGGCATCTCTCTTGCTCTATCTAACTCAACCACTCTCCTCTCCTCTTTCACTACATCATAGATGTCTTGGATCTTTAAACCATTTAATATAACTACTGAATCACTAAAGTACCCCATTGGTTCAGCGCATAGCTTAAATTTTTCTACTTTCTATCCTACTTTTTCCATCCTATCACTAGATCTCGAATATCCTTAAGAATCATATGAACTATATATTTAGGAGAATGCGATATTTTCTTAAACACCTGTTGATTCCTGCTCCATCACAAGTGATACACACAATGGCCGCAAATGTGATCCTTCTTACTTGAGAAACAAAGTTTTGCTGAAAGCAATGAAACGTGCATGAAACGTGCCTTCTAATATTTCACCCTAGTTATATTTTGGACAGCTCATGTTACTTTGAAATGAAGCTTTTATTGGAACCAAAAAGATATTTGGTACAATAGGCCATATAATGATAGCTTCAAGGAAATTTTATTTATACGATTGAAATTTTCTATATTTATGGAAAGGATTCTTTGTCAAAGCCATTGGTAGAAAATTTGTTTAGGAAACATATATCGGCCAATTATCATCATGTTCAAGGTTTGCTGAAATGGGAATTTCAATAGATCTTAATGGGGTATTCAGGGAAGATATAGGAGGGGTTAAGAAAAAAAGTTCTCTGTAGTTTGAGAGTGTCCCCAATGAAGATGAATAAGGTCAAGAGAAACAAAAATAACAATAAAATAATTATAATTATGTGGTGATGTTTTCTCCTGGAGAGAAGTGCATGAAGTTGCCATTTGGGGAAAAGCATGTTCTTGTCTATTAGCATTTATTTTCTATTTTTCTATTTTGGTTTGTCATTGAGTAAGAATGGGGATTCAGAAATGAATAAGCGGTTGCCATTTTCCATTTTGCTAATAAATGCTCCTCATTGATTTTATAAAAGTTGCTCAAATGAGAGAATTGGAATTGAAATTTATGCAAATTAAGAAGCTTGCAGATGGTTAAAACAACAAAAATATTGGGACAAAACTTTTCTCATTAAACTTAGGGTTTGCTCGGGAAGGGTGTCTTTTTGGGTGGTTTTTAATAGATAAGTATTTTTACAATTTTATCTGCAAGAACTCTCTAAAAAATATCTTAAGTTTTTAAAATACACACTCCAAAATATGCCAAAACACCATTTTTTTTTTCTTTTTTGACCTTTCTTCTTCTTCCTCCTTATTCTCCCTTAGCCCGCCAGAACCTCCATGGGCCCATGGCAACTTTGCCGGCATATATTTTTTTTCTATCTCTTTCTCTCTCCCTACCTTTTTTGTTCTCTGTCCCTCCCTCTCCTCCTCTTTCCTTCCCTCCTCCTCCTTCTTCTTCCCTTTTTCCTTGCCACCTCTCTTCCCCTCCTCTACCTTCATCCTGGCCCCTCAATGTCGTGCGACTAGAGATGGTCGCAAGATCAAATTGTGTGACCAGATCCAGTCATGTGACTAGAGGTTGTGGGGCTCAAAAAGAGGAGGGGGAGGAGGTGAAGGCAAAGGAAGCGGAGAGGGGATGGCGGAGAATGGGGGAAGGAGGAGAAGGAGGGAGAGAAGAGGAGGAGACGGGGAGGGAGGAAAGAGGAGAGGGAAGGGGAGAGAAAGAGGGAAGAGAAAAGAAAAAAAAAAGAGGCGGCAACTGGCAGCAATGGAGTCGGCGGCAACTGGCAGCAATGGAGTCGGCGGCAACGGTAGAGAGGATGGGAGAAGGAAGAGTTGTGTGGGGAGGAAGAAGAAAAAGGAAACAAAGGGAAAAAAAAAAGGAAAGCAAAAGGAAAGGAAAACAAGAGAAAAAAGGGGGAAGTTTTAAATTTTTTCAAATCCCAAATACATAAAAAAAAAAATTTACAATTTTTATGAGAAAATTTTATACAAACACCCATAAAAACACACCTTTGGAATGGACCCTTAGTTCCAGGATTTTGTTACAATGATAAACACAACTCAAGGATTTGAAGTAAAATATACAGGAGAAAAGTAGTGATCTAGCAATTTCATCTACATTTTTATTTTTTTTGGGTCCATTGTCATTTTGGATGACTATGTGCATTAAACGACATAACTTTCATAATAGTACAATCATTTAAAGTCGTAGTTGACAAATTATGGATTGTATGTAAGCATTTTCTTAATTTTCTCACAAAGTGATTTTTCCTTTTTGTTTGATTAGGGAAGAGGCAATCAATGACAGTTTCTTTTAACTTTGGATACTAAATATTGAAAAACTCCCCATGTAGTCCTAGCATTATGTTCTTATTTGATGAAGAGGGATGTTAAAAGAAATTAATTCCAATCCTACACTGGTTAGCCAAGATTAACTAAATCAACTAATGAAGATTTTAGATGACTCTACTCACTATTATTTGGTTTTTATGTGAAAACCCATTTTTTTCACAAAATCAATCCTGAAATACTTGAATTCATATGAATTGCACGTTTAGAAAGTGTTTGAAAAAACAAGACAATGCAGTACCATTTTTTGATAAGATTTATATTAAATAAGAAAAATAGTTTAATGACGTGTTTAGAGAATATAAAAATTGGAGAAAAATCCAAACAGAACCCTTGTTCATCATCATTAAAGTTCTTTTAGAGTTATGTCTAATAAAATTAAAGAATTATCTTCACTATGTATACGTGATTATATAGTATGATAATGTATAATTAGAATTAGTATTAGGTTTAATTTAGCTACTATTTCGCTTCTTTATTTTGAATTTAATTTAATGGACACGTGACTAGATGTGACTAAATTTTGTTAGTAATTGGGAAAGATTCTTCAAATGTTCCAAATCGGTTTTAAAATGGATATATTGCGAACCATATTTGATTTTGTCAAAACTTTGGGAACTAAAACTGCACGTGCTAAATATTGAGAATCATATTTGCTTTTGCCAGAACTTTAAAACCTAAAATCGCATATAGGCTAAAAATTGAGGACTAGTACTGCATTTTTTCCCAACTATTTTGACCAAGAAAATCTATATGAATTTCGACCGTTGTCAACGTCCATGCATAGGAGCAATGGATCATATAGACCCACTCTCCAGGTGCACACATGACAGCATATAGACCCGTTTCCCATCCTTAGTGCACATATAATGCATGGTTATCAAGCTGGTAACTCTCATTCATATCCTTAGAGACAATTCTACCAAATAACAGCACTGGATATCTTGACTAAGGGTCTGTTTGTTTGGAAGGAAAAGGTTTTCCGGAAAACATTTTCCATATTTTCTTTTGTTTGGTTGTCAATTATTTTGGGAAAATAATTTCCGATAGAAAATCAATTACACCCAGCGGAGGAAAACAACTTCCTCATCTGTCTTTGTGAAGTTATTTTCCTTCCTGAAAAGCAGTCTTCTTTTTCGCAGCGACATCTCCTCATCTCCGGCAAATAAAAGCTTTCAGTCCAACCAAAAGCCTCCGGCGACATCTCATAAGCAAACAAATCCCTCCTTCTTCGCAGGCGGCATCTCCAACTCCGACAAAGACCCAATTTCGGAGGTAACAGATCATCTCCCTCCCTCTCTCTCTCTCTCTCTCTCTCTCATTTTTAAAAGCTGCCAATATCAACGGTCATGTGTGGATGCGTTTGTGTGAGTGTGAGTTTGTGTGGTCCATTTCTCTAGTCATCGGAACTAGACTTTGCCATTGCGGCCGGTAACCATCTCTCTCTCTCTCTCTCTTCAGTCAGCTTTTTGTTGGTGAGCTGTGCCCGCCATTGTGGATGCGTTTGCTTATGCAGCCTCAGAAGCTTGTTTGACGGCATAAGCACAATCTGATTCCCGTTCCTACAATAGCATTTCCAACAAGGGTGAAGATTCCTCAAGTATTTCCAGAGGTATGATCTCTTGTTACTTGTTTTTTCCTCCCTTTTCCTTTGAAAAATTGTCTACAATTACTGGTGTAGATTCTTGAAGTTCCATTTGAATGAATTTTTAGATTCCTGTTCCTACAATAGCTTTTGTTTTAGTTTGTTCTTACCTGATTAGGGTTAAATCTGATTTGATTGATGCTAATGAATTAATTTGGCTGCTGAGTTTTGGGGGTTTTAGACCATTTGTAAAAGTTTTAGTGAATTCATTGAGTTTGTGAAGCCACGGGCTGATTCTTTTGTAGTTTTAATTGTCTCTAGCTTCTTTCGTTTGATCCTCCGACATGAATTTTGATTTTGTAGATGTCATTTTTTTCGCTTTATTATCTGGTGCCACATTTGATGGATGCCCAAAATGTTCTAGGATATAATATGTTTCTAAATTAAAAGGTCAATCCCAAGATATCCCATGAACGATCAATCAGTTTCTTTTGAGGAGCATTTGAGACCCCTGCATCACTCTGCAATTGAGACCCCTGCATTACTCTAGCTTTTTCTGGTACACTACTAATAGTCTACTGCTACGTGAATTTTCATAGATGGATCCCGGTAGTGATGATGATGAGGATGCTATTGTAATTGGTGCTGCCACTTCAGTCCTAGCAGCAGGATATGCAGCTCTTGAAGTCTATAAAACTCCAGTTGTTATACCTAAACCACCTCATGTTAATAGGGAGTGAGCTGGAGAGGATTACATGGATAGCATATTATATGGAAGTAGTTCGTATTGTATAGACCAAATTAGAATGGACCAAACTACATTTTTCCAATTACTAAATACTCTCACCATTAGAGGATTATTACAACCTACCATTCATATGTCAGTGAGAGAGCAATTGTTAATGTTTCTGCAAATAGTTGGCTATAATTTGAGGTTTCGAGTGGTTGGGGGGTACTTGTATAGGTCAACTGAAACCATACACCGCTATTTTTCCATTGTACTTGATGCCATATTGAAACTATATCCAGATTTAATACAATTGCCAAATGGTGCGACTCCACGAGAGATCCGTAATAGTCGAAGATACTACCCCTGGTTTGCTGTAAGTCTAGTTCTTTGTATAAAAATTAATTAACTCAAATAGTAGAAATTATTTTATATCTAATTGATATCACAAAATAGGATTGTGTAGGGGCTATAGATGGGACACATGTTGTTGCAAGTGTACCCCTTGAAATTCAAGGAAAATTTCGAGGTCGAAAGGGTTACCCAACTCAAAATGTGTTAGCTGTTATTTCTTTCGACCTCAAGTTTTCATACGTGCTTGCTGGTTGGGAAGGATCGGCACACGATTCTCGTGTTCTTGAAGATGCTCTTACAAGACCAAGGGGTCTACAAGTACTGCAAGGTACTTGTCTTAATTTATGTGAGTCGTATAATTATGCAAAACATTGTTAGATTAGGCAAAAGTAACTTTTTTTTTTCAATTTTAGACAAGTACTATCTTGTAGATGTTGGATATGGCATTCGCAACGGTTTCATTCCTCCTTATTCTGGAGTTCGATATCACCTAAAGGAGTATGATGACAATCCCCCTCAAAATGAAAAAGAGCTTTTCAATCTTCGTCACTCCTCATTGCGAACAACCATCGAACGAGGCTTTGGTGTTTTAAAGAAACGATTTAAGGTGGTGGATAATGATCCTTTTTGGGATTTTAAAACCCAAGTAGATGTGATTCTGGCATGTTGTATCATACATAATCACATTATGGGTATAGCTCCAAATGACATGTTCATGGAAGAGGTCATTCAAGAGGAACAATCTGAAACTCCAAATGTTCTGACTGAACAAGCATCTTACACACAGCCTTATCAAACACAAAGTGAGAGACGAGCAGAAAATAGAGAATGGGCAAGGAAAAGAGACGCAATTGCACATGCTATGTATGTAGATTACATGCAAAGAAGACAAAGTAGATAATCTAGATGGTGGTTGTAGTTTCTTTTTTAGTTTTGTTTTGTTTTATGATAATGCTGGTTCGTTGGATGCCATGTAAGGTTGTCTTTGGCTCTATATGAGTGATTTATCTATGTAGAGGTCTCGGCGTTCTGCCTGCATATATATGAATAAATCTGCCTGATCATTGAAAGATTGCAGAATTTTTACAACCCTGATTGTGATTATTTTCATTTTTCGCTTTGGATGAATGACTTGAAGCTCTTAGAAACTCTTACAGTGTTGACAAGAAGCTCTTAGAAACACAGGATCATCAAACCGCAGCAGACATAACAGTTTCAATTCAGTTTGAGGTTGGTGATTTTTGGCATATATGTTTTTCTAAGTTTTTGAGTAGTAAGGGTCTGCAAAGATTAGAACATGCATTTTGGCCAGCAATGTTGTCACTGTCAAATGGTGGTACAATTGTTTAACTACTCTTGAACATGAAGTAGAAAAATCTCTTGATCTGCAAAAACTTCTGCCTATATGATTAACCTTGCATCTCTTGATTGTCCATTGAGAATTAACTTATGCTCTCCAGGGTCATGATTTTCATTCTTGTTGCAATTGTTAATGTTTCTGCAAATAGTTGGCTATAATTGTTATAAGTTTGTTTTATTGGTGATGACTATTGAAATTGATTAATTTTTTGAAGATGGGCAAGAAGGGAGAGAAACAGTTTAGGTGGTCAAGACCTATGGAGCGTTTGATGCTTGAGATTCTTGCCGATGAGGTGAAACTTGGGAATAGGCCTAACAATAGCTTTAAATCAAGTTCATTTACACGTGTGGTAGATGCCATGAAAGATAAGTTTGGGGTTACGTGCTCGGTAGACCATGTGGAAAATCATCTAAGAACAGTGCGATCATCTTGGTCCACCATAGTAAAAATTCGTGAAAAAAGTGGATTTGGCTGGGATGATACTTTGAAGATGATAACGGCCAGTCCTAGTGTGTATCATGCCTATATCCAGGTAATTTAATGGAGTTAAGAATGTCAAATGAGGACTTCTTGTTCTTTTGAATTTTTGCACTAAACCTGGATTTGTTAGTGCAAAATTGGATTTGTTATATTGTTGATTGAAATTTCTGGTTTATGATTACGCAGAAAAATCCAGGTCATGACAAGTATATCCAGAATAAAATCGAGTTGTATGATGAAATGGCTGTTGTGGTTGGGAAAGATCTGGCCACCGGGTCTTTTGCAAAATCATTTGTCGATGTGAATTTGGAAACTCCATTTGTTCCTAAGACAAGTGTGGAGACAAGTGAAGAGACAAGTGTAGAACAAAAGGATGTGACTAGTGCAAGATCCTCAGAAGTGAGAGCAACATCATCGGGAACCAAACAACATCGTAAAAGAAATCGCAGCAATGAAGACATTGAAAAGATGTCTCAACAACTTGGAGAAGTGGCAGCTGCTTTGAACAAAATTAGTGCAAACAAGCTTGATGTCAACCAACTACATGAAGAGATTATGAATATAGAAGGCTATAGCGAAGAATTTCTGGACTTGGTATTCGAGCATTTGGTGCAAAATGAGAAGCTAGGAAAAGCATTTATGGCGAAGAGTCAAAGACTTCGTTTGATTTCTCTCGAGAGGTTCAAGAAAGATTGGGGCGTCGAATAAAGTACTTTGAAGTTGCAAATTCTACTTCGATGGCATGAGAGGAGTTTTGGTTGTCTTTAGCGAAGTTTTGTATATTCTGTAGCAAGCATGCTTATTCCATGGTACATGGGTTTAGTATGCAATCTGAAGTGCATGTAACTGAATTTTGTTTTCTTTAGGAAGGAGGACAATTTTTGCTTATGGCCTTTAACAGATATGGTGTGGCATTATGAGGTCCAATCTAAGATCTGCAATAGTCGCATGCATTGCTGTTTTGGGAGGGGGTTGCATCTTAACAGGCTCTGGCACAGGTTTTCATTTCTCTTTGGCAATATGGATGAGGGCGAAAGTGCTATTCTGCTAGAACTCCTCTTTGTAGATTGACATTTGCACAAGGCTGCATGATGCTAAATTTTTGGCCTAGCACCAGCAGTCTCTGTCTCTGTACTGAGCTGCTGTACATATTAAGGTGGTTTATTGGTAATTGGCCTTGGACTTTGCTAATCGAAAGCTCCATTGGTCGGCAGCAAGAATTAACAAATTATGAATAAATCCAAGATTCCATTAATAATTCCATTTAAGAATTCATGGTATAATATGAATAGACATTTTATAGAAATGATAATTTGATTATAATGGATAGAAACTAAAATTAACTTGTAATGAAATAAATGTTTTGAGAGTAAAAAAAATATTTGCAACATATCAACAAATATATCAGAAAATATTTTCAGTGACAAACCAAACACCGGAAAATTATGAAAAAAGGAATTTGGAAAATATTTTCACTTAATAACCAAACACTGGAAAATTATGGGGAAGGAAGTGATTTTCCAGGAAAATGACTTCGATGGAAAATATTTTCCCTAGGAAAATATTTTCAGTCCAACCAAACGGACCCTAAGAGCATGATGTTTTCAGTTCCTTTTTGAGTTAGTAATATAGAAGTACAATGCAAATATGGTTAAACTGGCAGCCAACACAATAAGACAGACGCTTTATAATTGAAGACACATTGAAAATTCAAATGCAATTATGGCAATTGTTTTATTATTCTTGTTATGGGAAAACATGGACAAACATGGACCCATTAATGAGGAAGGAAATTGAGACCAGAATTCTCAGCTTGAGGAAGTAAAAGTGACAACGAGAGTCATGCGTGACTCCAGAACAAATGGCATTTTCGTTTCTTTTATCTTATCCAATAATAATTGTTATGCAATTTGGACTCCATTAAATGACCCTCCATGCACCAGACTCATACAATCAAACACTAGATAACAATGGACAAAATCCATGCACTTGAAGTCCCTCTGATGTTCATGAGGCCTTTGGATCCAAGATGGGTCATCACTTCACAGCTCTAAACACTAGGGCCAAGCTTTACAAATCATCAAGGTCGAGATCAAATGGCATCTTCAATAAGCTCGAGCATGTTTGGTTTGAAATTATTTGAAATTTTTTTAAAAATAATAATGTGATACATTTGTGATTTGATGTATGTAAAATTAAAAAAAAAATGCTCGAAAAAGTGATTACAATTTTTTTTTTGCAAAATATGTACTTGAAAATAATTTCTTTTGCACTTGTACTTCTTGTTTCTTCTGAGATTGTCGCTTGAGTTGCCGATTTCATTGTTTTTGGGTAGGTCAATTTAACTTCTATTTAGCAATATTGTACCCGTAGGGAGGTTAGGGTGGCGATGAGTGTTTGATTCAAAAATTTTACTACAAATTTTTTGTACGCTAACAACAGCCTTGTTTGGCAAACAAATTTTTTGCCAAGTTTGTCTGTTACAAATTTTTAAACAATTTTAGCTACAGTGACCTCAAAAAACTTCTCAAAATTTTTAAACAATATATTTCAAAATATCCAAAAATTTACATACTTAAAATTTTTTTTTTTACAATTTCAACAGTAAGTTACAATAAAGTTTTAGACAAACACCCAAAGAACTCACTTACCAATAGGGTCAATACTTGCGTATGATACAGTGGCAGACCCAACAGGGAAGATTGGGCCCAAGTTTTGACATAGTCTTTTACGCCCCTTGTAGTTGTTGCCCATGTATACCATGGGAACATGTAAGAGAAGTAGGCTGATGTGCTTGACAGGGGTCACTAAATCTCAACCCACCCAATATGTGACCGTGTTGATAAAATTAAACCAAGCATACTTCGAAATTTAGTAGTTTTAGAATTATATTTATTATTAGAAAATGAGATTAGAATTAGGTGTCAAAGATGATTTAGAAACTAAGAACCCATTTTGATTGTTATTTTCTGAAATTTTTGTAGAAAAATATACAATAACGATTTGATATATGTGAAATAAAAGAATGATTAAAGAATGGGTTCACAGAAAACTTAAAAATATTTTGGAGGTAAATGACAATCTATAGTAACAAATTTCAAAAACACTCTAAATATACACAATATCAAATACACCTAACAAAAACATAAAAAAGAAAAACATTTACCACCTCTTTTTTGTTGGGAAGAGGTGGTGAACAATTAGGAACTGCTGTTTTCTTCTTCCATGGGCAACCACGGAGGAAGGGGATGGAGCAAAAGGAAGGCGGGCAGGGGCGGGAACCCCAAACCCTGCCCGTTGCCATCCCTTTGGTTGTTAATTTGTTATAATCATTATTCTTTCGTTTTTCTAGTCAGAAACACATCAAATGTCTAGTTAGGCTCATCCGGCAATTTGCCTATTTGTCTCCTAATTCACAGATTAGACACTATGGCTATGGCCCAGATGGGATCGATACCACGAGCAGCTGCTTTCAACTTTGGGCCCGCTGGCTTTGCTGCAATAACTACCAAGACCGACTCCTTAGGCTGACAGGGGGCAGAATTATTAAGCGCGTCTTGTAAGTAAATGCGCTTTATCCTCTATCCTGTCAATTAAAGAAATGGAAAAAGAAAGAGAAAGAAAAGAGAAGGCTTGAAGTTTAGGGACTGGGAACGAATCCAACTACCCGCCAACAATTCGATCAAATGCACGCTAATGGAGTTTGGGTTTGAGTTCGAGCTCAAGTTATATGTTCAAAGCAAGTATGCTTAAAAATATTTGAACGTATACTAATTTTACATATTTATGTAAGATTACTAAAATCTATTTTTATTGTGGACAATTACTTATTTTACCTATTTTTAGGTGTGAGTACTAAGTAAGTATGTTCATCTAATTACATTTAATCTAAAGTATAATAAGTAGAAATTAAAAATCATAAGCCAATCAAAAATTGGCAAAAAAGCAGAAAAAAAAGTACTTGAATTGATTTCTCAAATGAGCTCGAGTTCCTCGTATTTTTCTCCAATCAATCTCGAGCACCAAAATTTGATTTTCGGATAAGTTCGAACTCAAATAATTCTTACGAGTTCGAATTGGAGTAAAGCACTATTCGTGCTCAACTCAGCTCATTGACAAGGCTAGTAGTAATAGGACCAAGGAAGTCGAATCCACCTAAATTCTAAAACTAATAAATGGTGATGAATGAATTAGGTGAATAAAGACTTTGAAAGTCGCAATGATACATGCAAAAGCACCAAAAGAGGTCTGCCGGCCGCTCTCATCTATATGATATATCAACCGCTACAAGAACAATAGGAGAGTGTCCTGTGTTGCAGTGATCAAATTTCTTCTTAAATTCCTACTTTGCAGTCCCTACTTTAGCATTCACTTCGTTTGAGTACGTTCGACAGAAAAATTCTTCATAACTTTTTGCGATTACACCAAACTATCATTCATGGACTCGCTCCCCCCAATTCCACATGCAGATCCGGACCTAATAGCTCTCGATTTCGTTCCTTTCTTCCGAGTGTACAAGGATGGCCGCGTCGAAAAATTCATCAAAGCTCCCTTCGTCCCTCCAGCAGACTCAGACGATCCCCAAAGCACTGGTGGCGTCCGATCAAAAGATGTCATCATTTCATCAGAAACCCAAGCATGTGCACGCTTATATCTTCCGGCCACAGTCAAACCCGACGAGAAACTTCCCGTTCTGATCTACATCCACGGGGGGGCATTTGTCATCGGATCAGCTTTCGGCGTCGTATACCATAGCTATCTTACCTCCGTAGTAGCTGAGGCTAACGTCGTTGCCGTGTCTGTCGAGTACAGGTTGGCTCCGGAGCACCCTATCCCCGCATGCTTCGATGATTCTTGGGCAGTAACAAAATGGGTCGACTCCCATGCCAATAGAAAAGGCCCTGAACCATGGCTCAATAATCACGCCGACTTTTCTCGGGTGTTTTTGGCAGGTGACAGCGCGGGAGGCAACATTGCACATTACATGACTGTCAAAGCCAGCCAAGAGGGGTTGGGAGATGGTGTAAAGCTTGAGGGGTTGATTTTAGCGCATCCATTTTTTGGTAAAGGAGGGCGTGAAGAATTATGGGAGTACATCACTTCAGATTTCAAAGGGTGGGATGATCCAAGGCTTAATCCAATGGCAAGTCCTGAACTGCTGTCGGGCCTTGTGTGCGGGAAGATTCTGTTGTTTACATCGGAGACAGATCCTCTTCGAGATAGGAGTTTGCGTTACTGTGAGGCGATAAAGATGAGCGGATGGAGTGGTGAATTGGAGGTTGTGGATGTTGAAAAGGAGGGCCATACTTTTCATATACTGAATCCAAGTGGTGACAATGCTGGAATCTTGATGAAACGCCTGGTTTCATTCTTGGGAAATTAGGCCCTGTTGATGAGTAGCTCTTTGCCTGTTCGGCTTCTTCCGTGAAATATGATATTGATTTTCAGTTTTCTGCCGTCGTATGTTACTCAAATTTCAATAAACTACCTTTCTAAAGCCTTGTATTACTAGTTAACGGACACAAACCCATTGCAGCGTAGTTTCTCACTGGTTTCTTCTATCTGGTCTACCCCCAATTGCCATGAAAGAGCTCTTTGAGTTCTCCTTGCTGTCAGTTGCATTAATATTTTACTCAAAATATACTTATATTTGTTTTTATGGCAAGCATTTGCCTATTAATACAATTTCCATTGTTTCCTGCTCGGAAGACTAACACCAGTCTTGAAGACTACTAATTATGGCTCAAGCATTTGACCGAAATTTTTGTTAGCACAATACCAGAATGACAGAGAGACTGTATTAGCATTTTACTCTCTTATCTTCAATTTTAATGTGACAATTAGAAATAGTTTACAACCTTGGTGAGAAATTGACACTACTTCTTCATTAAGCTCCGGTTTTAAAGGGCAATCGGCTAGGTACCCTGCCAGCCAACCGCCATCAATTGTTTGGTTTTTTGTGATGGCTATTTAGTCGGTTAGACCACATGGGCACCTAACTTTTGGTAAGCATTTATTAATATATGATATGTCCAAGTTTTCAAATATTGGACAAAATTATTTAGTCTCCACAATTTCTAGGTGACCAAAATGGTCTATTCCACAATTACAACACACGAAATGGTGCTTTTAATTCCATATGAAAGTTTGTCAATGCCATCTTAATTTTCTATCTGCTAAAGCTTTCTTCTGTTTGCCATCTTAGAATTTCTGTTCAATGTCTTCAAAAATTTTCTGGGCAAAATATCAAGAGACCAAATTCATCACCCTAAATTATGAACCACTGAAAAAGTGGTAGGTAACCAAGAATACATTCTGTGGATTAGTGTATATTCTTGTCAAACGCTAGCAAAAGGATGAATGTTGGCATTCCAAATTTATCACCCTGAATATTGAAAACTAAAAAGTGGTAGTTAACCAAGAACGTATTCTGTGGATTAGTATACTATTGTAATGAAATGGGGGTTTATCCAAGGACACAGAAGCAGGAGCTAGGTAGCAGAAGCAATGGAGGCGTGAAGGTCAGCAGAGGAAGACGTGATCACTGGGCCAGAAGGTCACCGAAGGCGTGATTAGAGAATCACGCCTTTCCTGGGATTCAACTACTCCAACAGAAATTCAAAACGCGCGGCAACTAGCAGATGCTTGGACACGTGTCTTACTCTTATTAGTCTAGCTAGTATTCTGTTAGAGTCTGTTAACAATAAAAGCAAGCTTGTCTGCTCTATTCTAGTAGCTTTTAGGAATTATTCTCTCAGATTCGTCTGAATTAACTTGAGGATCAATCCTCATTTTTCCCTCCCAAACTTTCCTTCAATCTTTCCCCTTCTTAGCTAAATCCATTATTTCTGTTCTTGTAATTTGTTTTCCAGATTCAATTAATGAAAGTTGGAGTTCAATTTGTTCACTTTTATTGATTCATTGATAATTGATTTCTTAGTTTGAGCTTGTTCCCTACTAATTCCTGCAAAGCCCTGGCTTCTCTGGTTTCTGTACCATAACAGTGGTATCAGAGCTAGCTACGAGCCATTGGGAAATGGCTAAAAATCAGGATGAGTTGAGGAAGGAAGTGACAGAATTGGGAAGTGTAGTAAGAACTTTTGCTAACAGGAGTGATGGAATAGAACAGGCTGTAAGGATTATGGAGCACAGGCAGGAGAGCACTGAGAAGGCTCTCAAAAGTTTGGATCAGAAGTATGAAGGCATGATGAACATGATGGCGCAAGTATTAGCAAAACTAAATGACAAAGAGAAGGATCTGGCAGGCGGCAGCTCAGTGCCAGAACCAGGACACCAGGAAGGTAGCAGGAGGAGAGAGGGGCAGAAAGGGGTCCAGGATAGATCTGAAATCAGGGAGAACCGAATACTTTCCAGGTTACCTAAGGTAGATCTGCCAGCATTCAATGGGGAGAACCCAAGGGAGTGGATTAGGAAGGCCAACAAATACTTTAAGATCAATGGAGTGGAGGAGGAGATGAAATCTGAGGTTGCAGAGCTCTACCTCAGAGATAAAGCAGAAATATGGTTCCATGGAGTGTTTGGTGGCAGAGATGCTGTTCCATGGGAGGAGTTCTGCAATGCACTATGCGAAAGATTTGGTGATGGCTCTCCTGAGGAAGCTATAGAGGAATTCAATAAACTGATGCAAACAGGATCAATAGCTGACTACCTGGAGCAATTTGAAATGCTCAAAGCCTTGGTAATGCCTTCTCTTCCCCATTTACAAGATTGCTATTATAAAACCTGTTTCCTTAGTGGATTGAAAGAAGAGATAGTAACTATGGTAAAAATGGCCAAACCTAAGTCACTAGCAGATGCCATAGAGGCTGCCAAACTGCAGGAAAGGAACCTGAGAGCCTTACAGAAAATCCATAAGACCACCTCTTACAGCCCCAATTACCAGAAGCCTTTACTCAAACCCACAAACTATACAAAATCTCCTGACAAACCTCCCAACTATCCTAAAGTTCCTGACAGATCATTTCCTAAAATACACAACAACTATACCAATCCTCAGAACCAGTTCAAAAGACTCACCCCAGCAGAGCTCAACCTTAGGAGGGAGAAGGGGCTATGCTTCAAATGTGCTGAACCTTATACCATAGGACATGTGTGTAGGCAGTCTCATTTAAACTTGTTGATAGGGGACCACTGAAATAGAGGGGGAAAAACAGGATGAATCTGATGTGTTCTGTGATTGCATTGGAGGGGAATTAGAAAACGAACACATGGAAGTGTCCATCCATGCCTTGGCAGGGGGGAGTGAACATAGGACCATCAGGATCAAAGGGATAATTAAGGGGAAAACCATTGTTGCATTGGTAGACAGTGGCAGTACACACTGTTTTATTGATGAACAGATGGCCAAAAACTTGAAGTTGGGGACAGAAGGGGGAACTCTTTCAGTAAGGGTGGCGAATGGAGAAAAACTACAGTCTAGAAACATTACAAAACCAGTAACATGGAAAATGCAGGGGTATGAGTTCCAACATCAGTTCAACACACTAAGGTTAGGGGGGTGTGACATGATCCTAGGAGTTGACTGGTTGGCAAGGTACAGTCCCATGGAATTTGATTTCAGAAGTTTGAGTATGAAGTTCAGGAAGGAAAGGCAACAGATAGAGCTGAAAGGGGAGGACAGTACAGTACAGTTAAAACTGATAAGAGGAAGTAGGTTGTACAAGTGGACTAGGAAGCAGTCATATGGAATCTTGGCACAGGTAAGTACAGTGGTGGATGAGAAACCAGACCAGGAGCCAATCCTACCAGAAGTAGAGAAGCTGTTGCAGGAATTTAGGGATGTATTCCAAGAACCACAGGGATTACCTCCTGAGAGGAGTCAGGATCATCATATCACTCTTAAGGAAGGGGCAAAACCATTCCAAATAAGGCCCTACAGGTGCCCCTACATCCAGAAAACTGAGATTGAGAAACTAGTGCAGGAAATGCTCCAAACTGGGATCATTCAGTTGAGCAGCAGCCCCTTTGCTTCTCCTGTACTTCTGGTCAAGAAGAAGGATGGCTCATGGAGGTTTTGTGTGGATTATAGGCAGCTCAATGATCTAACAGTCAAGAACAAGTTCCCTATGCCCCTTATTGATGAGTTACTGGATGAACTACATGGATCCAAATACTTCACCAAAATTGATCTCAGAGCTGGATACTTCCAGATAAGGGTAAGAGAGGAAGACATACACAAGACAGCTTTCAGGACACACCAGGGGCTATACGAATTCAAGGTCATGCCATTTGGGCTGACCAATGCCCCTGCAACCTTTCAAGGTTTGATGAACCAGGTTTTCCAGAAGCAACTCAGGAAGTATGTTTTAGTATTTTTTGATGATATTCTGATTTACAGTCCTACTCTGAAGGAGCATGAGCAGCATGTCACTGAAGTCCTGGAAATTCTGAGACAACACCAGCTCTATGCAAAAGAGAGTAAGTGCTCTTTTGCTCAACAACAGGTGGAGTACTTAGGCCACATCATTTCAGCAGAGGGAGTAAGGGCTGACCCCCAGAAGATTGACAGCATGATGCAGTGGCAAAAACCAGTGAACACCAAACAGCTGAAGGGATTTCTTGGACTGACAGGATACTACAGGAAATTTGTCAAAGGGTATGGAGCTATTGCAAAGCCCTTAACCACTCTCCTCAAGAAAGATGGCTTTAACTGGGGGGAGGAAGCTGAGGATGCTTTTCAGAAGCTGAAAATAGCTATGTGCAACACCCCTGTGCTAGCCCTCCCAGACTTCTCCCAACCTTTTGTGGTCGAAACATATGCTTGTTATGGAGGAATAGGGGCAGTTTTGATGCAGAGCAGGAGACCCATAGCTTACCTCAGTCAGAGCTTGGGACAGAAGAACTTGGGATTATCAATTTATGAAAAGGAGTTGCTTGCCTTGGTCACAGCAGTCACTAAGTGGAGACACTATTTAGAAGGACATCATTTCATCATCAACACTGACCATCAAAGCTTGAAATACCTGCTGGAACAGAGGATCACCACCCCTCTCCAACAGAAGTGGCTGACTAAACTGATGGGATTAAGTTATGAGATCTGCTACAAAAAGGGGAGGGAGAATGTAGTGGCAGATGCACTTTCCAGGAGAGGAAGAGATGAAGCTGAATGTGCAGTGACCTCCACAGTCACTCCAGAATGGATGAAGGAGGTAGTAGGAAGCTATATGGGAGATGACTGGGCACAGGATATCATCAGGGGTCTTCTCACCTGTCCAGGACTGAGCTCAGATTACAACTATCAAAGTGGAATTCTGAGGTATAAGGGGAGAATTGTAGTAGGTCAGGGGGGAGACATAAGGAAGAAACTCATCTCTACCCTTCATGACTCTCAGCTAGGAGGACATTCAGGCATACAGGCCAGTT